TGCAGTGAACTGGTTATGTATTAAAAATAATTAACAATTTTTATACAAAAAAATCAAAACATCATCAAATAGTGATTTTAATGTTCGTAAACTGATGTGACATCATCTAAAAAACAGTAAACAGATCATTGTTTTCCTGAGCATCTTCCAGCATATGCCTTAGTAGATATCACTCTATAGGAGCACCCAAATTACTCAGGTTAAATGAACCAAATATGAGGTAGTGCTTGATAACGCAATTCTGCTTAAGAATGTTCAGCAATAAATGAGATCTTGGAAAAATGACTGAAATTGTTTAAACTGCTTACAGAGACAACTGGTAATCACCAAGAGTGATGTCCCAGGAAAAGATTGATCTAGAACATCTGAGAGGCAGGAAAGGCAATGAGGGTCAACTGTGACAAAATCAAAGGAATCAAGCTGTTTCATGACATGAGAGTATGTAAGTGCTTCTGGACGGAAAAGTCACAAGACCTACTTGGAGTTAGGTGAGATCATGAGAGAGATAGTAAAACTCAAATTTAGATTTTCACTTTTAGCAATTAGCTGAATGTGCCCATACAGCACATAATAGTATCTGGTCATTCGTACTTGAAGATAATGTCTACTAGGGTGGCTAGCCAATCCCTGTTGCCGACGCCCACTCAGGCACATTTGTGTTTGTTCAACACCCACAGAGCCCACCTGTGGTATATACTGCAACTACTCTGCGCAGACCTTAGTTACAATTTCTGGGAGAAAGTGTGTTATCTAGCGTGATCAACAGTCTGAACAAGGCCAACTCGCTCAAGCCCTTGGTCATGATGACTTGTGACTTTGTGCGAGCATACCCATTGATGACCCACAAGGGTTCCCTCTACCCAGTTTAACTCACAAGGCTTGGATCAACCCATGATATGGTTTTTAGGCACATTCCAAAAGTGCCACACGCTAGGATTGCCCCTTCCAGACTGATAAGATCAGGAAGTCTCTTTCTGACAAATCAACTATGGTGAGATTCGAACCCGCATCTCATGGTCAGAAAATGAACATTTTAACTACACAGTCATGTGCCCATATACACACACACAACACACACACACACATATATATATATATGTGTGTGTGGTATTGTAAAGAAGCAAAACATTCATCTGTTTCATGTTTAGATGCTTATCTCCAAGTTTAAATCAAAAAATAAAGGCAATTTCCATACCATGGCATTATTTCCACTGATGAAGAACAAATGCATATGTCACTTTTTGATGCATATATCCCCCTGTACAGCGATGCACTTCTGGTATCATTCACTGAGTTACTTCATGCCTTTTTCCTTGTTCACAATGTCAAATCTGCACTGTTGGATTGTTTGGGCACCTGATGCACACAAGATTTATAGTAGACAAGTTATCATTTGCTGTTACCTTGTGCAGATCTATAGCCAATGCCCATGATTACCACTATGTTTGCACAATGTTGATGGGTGTTCAGATCATTTTCATCAATTACACTTTTTCTTCTTGCTTTAAAGCATTCTTCCCACTTGCACACCTTTCATTGATTTATGGTGTATGCACCATACTGTTCCAAAAATAAAGTTATGGATTTCCACATGTTTGACTCCCTCTGTCCACCAAACGTGCAATATGGTGCAGTGATGGCCCAATTGCTGAGTGAAGTATGAGTATTTTTGAGCTCATTGCTCTATTGTATATGATCTTATCAAATATTCACTAATGCCTTTGGAAAAGGCATCAATTCATTTTTTTACTCTCCAGTTATTGGTTAAGTAGCAGAGTAGACTGGAATCTCTAACCATAAAATGATAGTGTATAATAGAAGGGCAACTTAATTCAAATCCATGGAGAAGATAATGTGAAACAATCATCTTTTAAAAAGTAGGTATCCCTTTATCTCACAAGATAATAGTGGCAATATGTTTGGTAAAAATTCAATCATTTTGTGTTCTTACTGGGTAGAGAAACTGTGGTAACCTCTCCGGGGTGCAGAACAAGGCAATGATATAAGGAGGCTGTGCACTGCCCAGACAACATGACCCCACACTCAGCCATACTAACAAGATACAAAGGAATGCAGATCATTACATTTGGTTCAGAAATTATTTATGAGAAGTAAGGATAAAAACGAGTGAAGATTGTCAATGTCAAGTCATTCTTGTGCTGAATTGAGATGACTGAATCTATATTTCCTGAGTAGAGCTGCTGAAAACAAATCCAACATTGTCATTGGTAAGTGAAAAACGTTTATATGTCACCAGACTGGAGAAAACTAACATTTTCCAGTGTGAACACTATGACTGTGTAGTTTACATCTTGAAGCCAAGGGGAGAAAGAGAAAGTTTCTGTTTTTGCAGAAGTAGGCTCATAAAATCATACAAGTGACCAGAAACTCTTTCTGGTTTCTTTATAACTTGCATCATGGGAAAATTTATTTTTTTTGTTTGTTATTATTTTATTTAATTTTTTATTTCATATTTTGACTGATTTAAATATTATTTAAATGTATTATTTTGGAGTAAAATTTTATAAAATTGGACATTATTTTCTAGACAGCCTAATAAAAATTATGCAAAATCCTATTAGTGGGGTACTCTATAAGGGTCAAAGTTTCAACTTTAATAATGCTCTAGTAAGATGAGTTTGTTAATCTTTACTTTAAGGCAGCTGCTCAAAATGTCAATATGTGTTGACTATGAATTAGAAAAATAAATGACAATTTCTTTCAATGCATAAAAAATCGTCTTTTGCCTGGTATTGTACATGCTGAAGATTCATTGAGCAATGCTTATGTCTCTGTCTACATTTCATGGCAATAAAGAGATTAAACACTGCTGTAAACCACAGGCTATCCCAAAAATATATTATTTTTTCTATATTTTTATTTCTTCAAATTATTTTGCTTCTCTTTTGGAAGAAACGATATTTGTTTTAGTTTTTTTTTTTTTAACCTCACCTGATTGTCAGTCTCATGAAAATCTTTGCCTCGAGACAAGATCATGAAATATGAGCTAAAAAAGAAAATCAGAAATCAAGAAAGGATTATTTTTGTTCAGTTTTCAATGTCATCATTGTTTTTGCCTTTTATATAATTCAAACATTGAAGAGAAAATCTTTTTATTGCATGCTGTGATGTATGTCTGCATGCATATGTATAAAGAGATTAGTAGATAAATCTATATATAAATTGTGTAAACAAAGTAAAAATTAACTCTACTTACTCTTTATTTGGTTCACTGTATGAATGTGAACATGTCTTTTCTATATGCAAGCTTTTCATTTCTTACCTCAGTGTATGGAAAACATATATTTGAAAACATATGTACTTTCTTACATACATACACACACACACACACACACATATATATATATAAATACACATTTTATTTAAACAAACTGCTACAATTTATATTTGAATTAACATTTCAAAATATTGTTGTTCCATAAGTTTTGCATTTTTTTTTTTTTTTGCGCATCATACTTTGGATTTTTTTTTTTTACAGTATACACTTCTGACTAGTTACTAATGGATGACAAAAATGATGCAAATTTTCTGAAATTCAAGTCAAAGAGAAATTAGAAAATTAACAGGAATTAGACAACTCCATGACCTACTCACTCATGCATTGAACAAAAATTCATCATTTATTCAGTTATGCATTTTGGTCACTATTCCACTCCATCTTATGCTTGTGGTCCATGGTGACATTCAAGGCAGAATACTGTGTTCCTTTACGTCATCCTTTCTCTCAGAAGTTCAAGAGGCAGACCTACAAAGCAGCAGATGGTTTGAATTCAGAGTTTTCCTTCTAGAGTGATTGCCAGCCCAAACTATATGGCATGGTCTGTCCTTCTATTTAATTATAGTTGGAGGATGAGATGGATTTATACATTTCCCAAGGGTATTAGCACATAATTTAATGCAATGAACTCGACTGGAATTGGAACTCAATTCTCCAATTCCTCAAACCAAGCCGTTATCTATTACTCCACCTTGACCCAACAAAAATTATGATGGCAAAAACAAATTTATCATTGAATTTTCTCCCTTGCAGATTACATTATATTTTGGGTATTGTGGACCAAAGGCAAGCTGTTATTTTTTTAATTTTTTAACAATTTGATGTTTTACTCATGTACATTATTACAATAATATGTTCAATTTACAATCATGTATGATAAAGAAGAATCATTTTTTCTTATATTCATCACATAGGTGAACCTGCAGATAGGTGAACCTTAATACAGATTCCTTTATTATCTCTTAATTGCCATAATATATTGGGAAAGATAGTTGAAGACTTTTCTGTTGCCTTTTATACAAATTTAAGTTCAGAGTTGTCCTTCATCTTGACTAGTTGTCACCCACTGCTAAAGATAATTTGCCCTGCTATTTAACTGATAGCTGAACGGAGAAGAGACATCTTTAAGGGTGGTAGTGTAAAATAAAGACAACAGACTAGGATAGAACTTGATTCACTGCTAATAATTCAAGCTTCTTGCCTATACAAAAATGACACCTGTTTATCATTAGCATTATAATTCCTATCAAATCTGCTTGAATAATCTAACTCAGATGACTTTTTTCCCTTCTTTTAGTGCATTTTAGTGCAACCTTAATTTGATATACTTTTGGTGGGTGACTTAATTTGATATGTTCTCAGGAAAATTTGATATGTTCCTTAATCCAATACATTTTTAGGGGTATCATGAATCAATTCATTTTTTATTGATTTATTATTTGTCGCTTATGAACACTTTGCATTTTATTTAAAGCCAGAAAATAGTTTTAGATTTTAAGAATTAAAAAAAAAATAATAATGGTTTATTGATACAAGTTTTACTAATTAACATAACCTATAGCTGGGGGAAAATGGAGGATTTATACCGTTTCAAAGGATATTTACATGTAAATGAATATAACAAACCCAACATTAATTGGAACTTGGCTCTCTGATAAACAATTCTGAGCCATAATCCATTACACCAGCTACACATCCAAGCTTTCAACACCTGATATTCCCACATAGTCAACCATCTAGGTACTGATCAGGCTCATCATTGCTTAACTTCAGTGATTGTATGGGAACTGTTGTTTCAACATGATGGGGCTGTAAGCCTAATTCAATAATCCTGGTTACTTAGAGATTATATTGAAAATCAGATTGTTAGTATTATAAAGATAATAAACATTATTTTTACTAATATCTATAATATTAATCATGAGAAAATGTAATACTTCCAAAACTGACAAGAAACACAGGAAAAACAAAAAGATCTTTGCAAATAACATTTATTTGGCTTTACGCAGACTTGTATGAATAAAAAAAAAGTTTATGTAAAAACACATTTGTTCTCTTATAAAGAAGTTTATATTCTTACCTGTTTTTTATTTAAATCATTTCATCCAAGGAAGCCGATAATGCCACTAAGATGCAAAGGGTGCATTAAGAGTGAAAGGGAATGATGAAACGTTAGTGAGGAGAAAGAACAATAGAAGATCAGGATACAGGAAGACAGAAGATGGCAATTGACATTACATTTAAACTATTGAAGATTGTAGGTGGTGGGGAAGCAATAAATCAGAAAGAGTTGCAGAGATAAGTGCAAGAAAATAGGCTACTGGAATAGAACATGGTTGCATCTAGCTAGTTCAACAGTAAAACAATGAGACCTAATTGCCAATCTAGTTGTATGCTTAAATTCATGCAGTCAAGACACCAAGGAAGAAAGCTCATCAGAATATTTACCATGAAAATATTTGTTGAAAAGAATTAAAAAGACAGAATTAGAAGCACTAACCAGTTATTTACTATGAATTTTTGTCATGTGACAAAAATAGCATTTTTTAAAAATTTTGCTTCAGAGAATCTTTGTTTTTGGTAATTTTCTTGATAGAATTTTGACAAATTTAAATTATTAAAATCAATTTTTCTTTTGAATTTGAGATTGAAATAAAATTCAATAGATTGTCATGAATGGGTGCATTTGAAATGGCTGAGGTTGCAGTTGGTCACCAGTTTCTAGTGGGAGGAGATACAACTTGTTGCTGATTAAGATGAAGAAGAAGGAAAATACAGTGTGTATTCATATAGCTGGAAAATGGAGAAAAAACATTTAGAGATTTTGTTGTTGAAAAATATGCTCTTTATGTAATGCGCTACATGGCTCCATTTGAAGTTTGGCAATCGGTTACCCAGGGATTTTTTCCTTGGAGGTGATGAGATACAATACACCCTGTACCTAATACATTATGTAGTGAAAAGAGAAAAAAGATTTATGTCCTTCTTTATGTAGTCTTAGACAGTGCCACCTATTGGACATCTTAGCAGACAAGGTGGGAGTAATCCCCCACAAGATAATTACATGATTAATTTCAGAATAGAACACAAGTTCTTTGTTATATATTGTCGAACATTCACTGTCATATGTGAGGACTGACATTACATCATAGACAAGTGCTCTTTTCTTTGCTTTTAATAAATTCTTCCTGTTTCTTAATATTTAGTTCAGTAAAATATAATTCATCTTAAATATGTATATTATTATCTGTTAATAAATATTCTCTTTCCTTCTGATGTCTTCAAACATCACCTGTGTAGCATAAAGCCAGAGTGTCATCATGTTAGGTGTTGCTGTTGTTTCTGTAGTTAAGGTTTTTATGTGTTGGGTGGAAAGGGTGATCGGTCATAACCAACCAGTTTACAATTCAAATTGGTTCTTCTCATAAACTGGTTGCCAATCAAATTTGTAACCCAAGTATTCTCTGCTATTTAATCCATAGCTGGAGGGGGAAGAGATGGATTTATGCCCTTTCCAAAGGTATTTGTGTGGAAATGAATGCATCAAATGGGCTGGAATTTGAAACTGATTACACTTTCTGCACTATGCTAAACAATTAACAGAAAACATATTAATCAACCTGATCCTCCAAAATATTTGATATGAACACTTGGAGTGTGATATACTTTTTATATACAATACAGTATCTTATCAGCATTTGACTTAACATTTGTTTCTTCAATGTATGATATAAGAAATACTTTTCAAATGATAAGCTTTGAGAACCATTGGGTTGATTGCTCAGCTGGGGAATACCATTAACATAAATATCCGTGTGGAATACAGAGAAATGTAATGTTATTCGTATTTGCTTTAATGAATTTATTTGTTCTATTACATCATGAATTTGAAATATTCATGCGTTGGAACTGCCTTCTCCTTGAGCATTTAATACATTAACAGGAAGCTGAAAGTAGAAGCAGCAAAACACTAAAATGATAAATAAATATTTTCAGTAATTCTGTGAGTTTAAATGTAATTGAAATCAAGTGTCAAAATTGAATTAAGGAATTTATTTTTCAGTTTTTTTTTTTTCCTAGGATGGAAAATTTCCTCATTCTTTTCAAAATTTACCAATCCATCAAAATTCTTTTTGACACTTGATTTTTCTTTCCTGGCAAAAATGCTTTCACTGCTTTAATTGTCATTTTTCAAAGAGGAGGACTTGAGTTAAGAAACAATGTAAATTCTGTCTTGCTACCATAATTTTTCTTGAACAAATACAAAAAGAATTTGATGGTGCATCAGAATGGAAAAGAGCAAAAACTGACAATGATTATTACCAGTTTTTTCTAAAACTGCTAAAGATGTAATTTATATCTGTAAAATATTATTGAAATATTTTATCACTCTGTTTGTTCCTCCATTAGTTACAAAGTTAACATGTGCATTACACCCTTGCTATTATCTCAGATAAATAATGGACCATTCCATTCTTATCATGAGCAAAGACAGAAGGAAAATATATGACAGAAGCACTATTTGTTTTCAGTGAGAAAAAGAAAGCATACAAAATAAGTAGAAAGAAAGAAATAGAAGATGGTGGACTGTCATGAATTTAACATCTGCTTCTGTGAAATGTAAAAAAAATTCTATTTTTAATCTTTTCATTTGTTTCCTCTTACTTCTTTAATAATGACCTTTAGTCATGCATTTCTTTTTATAATTTCATTCCAAGTAAAGTGGTAATGCAATGAGTATGCAAAAGGGCTACAGGGAGTGAAAGTGAAAGAGAAGACTGAGCATAGGGAGGATTGAGGAATGGAACAAAGTGAATATTGTTGAAGATGGCGATTGACATTGCATTTCAATTTTTGAAGATTGTACTCATCAGGGAAACAAGGAAATGGAAGTGAATTCCCCAGTGGGAAGGGTGAGAAAGGAAACTGCTGGAGTAGAATAGGCAGATGCATTTAGCTATTTCAACAGTAAAAGTGTGTGACCTAAATGCCAATTTAGTAGCACACTTAAATTAATGTATTCAGGACACTATTGAAAAAATCTCATCAGAGCAGTTGCCAAGAAATTATTTGTAGAAAAAAACCACAGGTAAGCCACATCATGTTGGTGAGAAAGTAACTGATTTTGAGATGTCTGGTCAGGATTGATTACATTACTGATTCTTCTTGATGTTTTGTTAAGAATTACAAGACATACATCAGGAGCACCAGACCAGATATGGCAACAGTTTTCAATGCCCAGCCAAATGGTAGATTTGTAAATGTGCAAGACAGATTCTATCGAAAAAAAAAACAAAAACTTTCTGGCACAACATTGTGACACACGTTTCCTTGCAGTAGAGGTAGCTATTGATTCAATATAGTTGCTACACTTCAAGTCAGTGGAAAATGTGAGGCCAAGAAAGCATAGTGTGTTGCTCACCTGGAGTCTAACATCAGCCATGCTGATAGCAGGTAGAAAAGATTCTCTGTGGTGGTTAAATGAAAGTAGTTTTGTTTTTGAGGCATTAAAGTTTACAAGCCATTTCTTGCCCCTGTTAATCACTGACTGGTGGTTATGATTGTTATTGCAATAAGTTTTTAAGGCAAATATTTAATGATGCAATAAGGGAATTCAGTGCTACCATAGTATGAGATCTACTGTTCATTTTCTACTGTGGTATGATATCAACCAATCAATCATTTCTGCTATGGTATGATATCTATCAATCAACTACCCAAATGGGCTAGAATTATTTTGTCTGATGTTATCCTATTTATTTTGCAACAGAATTACGTAAATACCTTATTTATTGTTATAACCTTGAGAAGGTTACTGAATAGAATAATCACACAAATGTTGGTAATGAACAATAATACTTAGAACAAGAACAATACATATAAGATTTGCCAGGAGCATGTAGAAAAAGTAGCCAACTGCTAGAAATGAGTCAAGTGAATCCAACAATGTATCTCCAACTGCAGACCAACATACAGTATTTACTACTGTATCTATGTGAATGGGAACATACCCATTATTGTCTGTAGATATGCTACAACATATATGAATATAAATTAGATAAATGCCCTGCTCTTTAGTTGAAAATAACACTGTATGTAGTTTGAGGAATTAATTGCTGTAGGCTGTAAGTGGGTTGTTTGGTAGTGCATCATCATTTACATAGGTTGCAAATGCTTCAGTAGATATCATGCTATAGTAGCAATTGAAATTCCCATGTATATTTTATCTTTCAAGGAGCTTATTCAGTCATTAAATTAATGAGAAAATTCATCTAAAGAAACTGTGCATTTTTATGGGCACTGCCAGTTATTATAAACATAATTACATCAGCTCATTCATTTGGTAAAAAAATATTTTCTTGCTAACATAACTTTATATTTAAATACATATATTGATAAATGAAATATGAGTGGTAAAAGTGGGAGGTTATTTCCCCTTAGATATGCAGTCACACAATGCATCCTGCATAATGCAGCACTGAATTTAAAATATTCTCTCTTGCCACTAATATCACAAACCTGCACAACAGAATACATGAAATGACTGTTAAGGTAGGACAATTTCAGCAACTTACTTTTTCCTAACTTCTGTTACATATTCACTGTACACATATCAAAACACCAAGATGTCAGTAGCACTAAAATATGGTGTCTTCATAGTTACACTTCTTTGTCTTTTCCTTCACATTTCCAATTTCCTCCTTTGTATCTCAATAAGTTTGACATTTTAGGGCTACTTTTCAATACCCTATGAATATTTTTTCATTTGCTTGTCATCTTTCATAGATTTCACCAACCAAT